AGCAAGAATTCTGGGAGTTGAAGTCCACCCATCTTCAAGTGGCCAAGGCTGAGAAACATTGGTCTAAAGGCTGCAAGTTGCCTCTCAGGGTGACCAACAGGAGGGTTGTTGACAGGAGGCTTTTTCGTGGCAGGTTAATCCTGGTTGTGAGGAAGGGAGTGAAACTTCAAGGATGTAGATACAGATGAGACCTGGGGAAGAACGTTTGGATGGGAAGAGCTGTCAGTCAGTGGAATAGGCTGCTGCATGGCGGGGTCTCTTCCCCTTCCCTGGGGTCTCCAGCAGAGGTTGGAGAGTCATCTATCGGGGATGGTGCAGTGACTCCTGCAGTGTGCAGGGGGTTGGGGTGGATGACCTCTGAGGTCCCTTCCAGCTGGAGGACTTGAAGGGCGTTCAGAGAGGCTGCAGCTGTCCCGAGGCCGTCTCCCAGCTCCCCTTCCAGCCTGACACACACCCTGCAGGGTCTTGGGGAGCGACACCTCGCGCTCTTCCCCTCTGAATTTCTCAGCATCTCGCCTGGGACTTGTGTGCGCAAAGCCCAGGCTGCTTTGCCTGGTCCCTGGCGTGGAATAAGCCGAGGGGGGATTTGCTTCTGAAAAACTCCCCTTCCTTTTTCCTCCAGGCTCACCACAAGATCCGTCTTTGGCAGAAGCATCCAAAGGAGGGATTAAGTATGTGCTTAGTTGCAGATGTGCTGCTAATTCCGTTTTTCTCTGATGTTTTTGGCTGGCTGGCTGGCTGGCTGGCTGTCTTGGAGGCTCAGAAGAGTGTGGAAAAACGGAGTAGCTTGAAATGCGCTGGGGAGAATCAATCACCTTTCTCCGCGGTGCGCGTGGCTGGGAACGAGAGCCGGGCCCTTCCTTCCGGGGCAGGTGGCCGCCACGGCTAAGCACCCTCTCTGTGTGGGGCTGCATATTCCCTTGGCTTCAGGCCACCTCCTGCCCAAGCGTGTGTGGGCTCGGCCTTTGTGCTCTGCGATGGCTATTTTTATTCTTTATCGGGCCTTTTAAAAAATGTTCCAAGTGCTGGCAACGCTCAGAGAGCAAAGGAAAGGATTGTGGAAATTCTGGGGAGGGGGTCTGCGTCTTTAAAAATGCATGTTGATGCCTGTCGAATGGCTTTTGTCATTTTAAACTTCACAATATTCTGTCACCGGCACCAGCTGTAATAAACGGGGAGGAAAGGGGGGGAAATAAAATGATGGGGTGACACTTCAAAGTATTAATAATTCTGCGCTCCTTCTGCGTCTTATCTGTAGAGGCCGTTGCCTAGTTCTGCCAAACTCAGGCACTTGATCTGCAGATTATGTAAAGCGATACGGAAAGGAATCACATGACGCCTCACGGTTACGCGTGAACCACGCTGCACGCCTGCTTGTTCGGGCGCCTGGGGCTGGGCTTCAACCCTTGGAGGAGTCTGCTGGGAGAGTGGAGCCGGTGCGAGTTTTACCCTGGCTAAGCAGAGCCCCCCTTACTTCCTGAGGCCTCAACCTCACTCTGATCCAGGCTGTCCAACTTCTCAGTGAGCGGACCTCACTGCCCAGCATGCCCCAGCCTGCAGGACCGTGGCTGAGAATTCTGGGAGGTGGTCTGCCTCTCTGGCTGTTGCCCAGGTTGGAAGGAGCAGGACTCTGAAGCAGAAGAGCCGCATTTAACCCTGTCTTTTTGGGGTGGGGGTGTGTGTTCCCAGAGCGCTGTGATGACTGGGGGGTCGACACCATGAAGCACAGGCCGGTGTACAGTGGCGAGCCAGCCAAGATCAAGTGCCCCCTCTTTGAGGCTTTCTTGAAGGACAACTACAGCACTGCCCACTCGGCCGGCTTGACCCTCATCTGGTACTGGATCGGCCGTGGCCAAGATCTGGAGGAGCCCATCAACTTCCGCCACCCCGACAACCACATCAGCAAAGAGAGGGACGTGCTCTGGTTCCGGCCCGCGCTACTCAACGACACGGGGAACTACACCTGCATGCTCAGGTACCCTTCTCCTGCTTTCTTGGAGGGACCTCGGCTTTTCCAGATGGGGCAGGTTCAGACGGGCAGCATTCCCGCCACTTGTTCAAGCCAGTCGCTGAATGACCCATGTCCTGGGTTTGCTCAGCGTATTGAACCCAGAGGAACCGGACCGGCTGGGTTTGCATAACATGTCCACCCAGGAAAAAAACTAGCCGAGATGAACACAAACTGACATTCAGAGGTTGTGCAGAGGCATCTGCTACTCCTTTCTGTGGCCAAATCAAGTGTGTTGGTGACCGTGTTTGGGGGTGTGTGTGTGTGTGTGCACGGAGCGTGTGGTCCGTTTTGAAGACCTCTGTTGAAGTGACGGGATGCCTGCCTCGGACTCGGAGAAGCCTTTTGGGCAGCTTGCAAACCGAATCAATAGATCAGGATCAGAAATGATCAGAAGGCAGGACCAGAGCCAGTGGGTTCAAACTACAAGGAAGGAGGAGCTTCCTGAGTGTGCAAGCTGTTGGCCAGTGGAAGAGGCTGCCACACGATGTGGGGAGTTCTTCAAGCAGAGGTTGGAGGGTCATCTGTCAAAGATGCTCTAGCAGATGCTACACTGTCTAGGGCAGGGTTTCTCAACCTTGGCCACTTGAAGGTGCGTGGACTTCAACTCCCAGAATTCCCCAGCCAACATAGCTCGCTGGGGGATTTTGGGAGTTGGGGTCCACGCACCCTCCA